AGGTGTGCACTAACTGTAATTCTTAAAATACTATCCACACGTCATTACACACTAAATAACATACCGGATCAAGAAGAAGTTAGTTCAATTTTTTCTTAAATTCTTATTAATTTTATAAATTTAGTCACTAAGTATATGACGTTGGATGTTTTGAAGTGAAGGTTGTTTTTCTGTATAACACTTAATCAATAGCTATCACTGTTGTATATGACCAAGTTGAACATATAAACCTGTATAATCTTGAACTAGTTTAAGCAAGTACATTACTATAGCGTACACTGCAAAAAATAGTAAAAGGCAGTTAACATCGATAAACCTTCAAAAATCTGTTTAACTGAGAAATTGAGAACATTGACATTGTTTCAGTGGTGCCAATAAACCATTAACAATTGACTTAAGTACTAATCACTAGACATTAAGACTTTAGTGCACTTTTGGAGACTATCACATAGTTCTATCTTAACAAATGTTATTTCTAGATTGATGACATTTCTCGATATATATATATATAGGCGGAATATATTGGTGTTTTGAATGTCTTTACACAGGAATAAATTTATATTTATGACGCGGAATTTGTGCAGCTTGGTTGGATGAGTTAAGTGATGTGATTTCGTTGAGGTTGATAATTTAGTAGTGTTTTCATTATCATTATGGACACTGTCAGCCACATAAGTTATATTCGATGCGACAAGATATTACAAATCCAGGGAAGAAGTTTTGTAACTACATTTTCTGACGGTTTATTAATTGGTGGATTTATCATTTCAAAGATTCCACTCAAGATATATGCTTCATATCTTGGACCATCAGCAATCCAATTCACAGATTGAGTTGTTTTCACCCCATCCACCCGAACTGATTACTACCATACTAGTTGACCTAATATACTTGGTAGTTATTAAGTTTTTGTTTTTCGAATTAATGAATACAAATGGTTGGCTTTTCATTCACTATGTACTTGCTATGCAACTCCGCCTGTACCTCTTATAAAGTTACTGCCGGTCCCAAGCCCGGGTAAAGGAGGAGGGTTGGGCATGGGGTTAGCGTCCCCATCCCGTAGAAAACTAACTCGCTAAAAAAACGCTTACCAGAAAAAATAATCCAAACCATTTTAACTCTGCCCTGGGAGTAAGAAGGTCTTCATTTAGAAGAATTATGACGCTTCGTGGTGAAAGCCGAGTTCCTTCGGAAGCCACGAGGCCGATGCCCCTTCTAACAACCAGAGCAAAATTTTTTATAGGTACATGGAACGTTCGAACATTGTGGGAAACCGGGAAGACCAGTCAAATATCAATGGAAATGAGGAGATACAACCTAGCAGTACTGGGAATCAGCGAAACCCACTGGACCCAAGCTGGACAGAAAAGGCTAGCTACGGGAGAGATGCTGCTATACTCCGGTCACGAAGAGGACAATGCTCCACACACTCAGGGAGTCGCTCTTATGCTGTCCAAAGTAGCACGAAATGCACTTGTAGGATGGGAATCTCACGGATCCAGAATCATCAAAGCATCATTCAAAACAAAGAAGGAGGGGATTTTAATGAATATTATCCAATGATATGCACCCACCAATGATAGTAACGACGAGATTAAAGATCAGTTCTACGAGCGGCTGCAGTCAATCATTGAGAAATGCCCAAGAAAGGACCTAACTATTCTGATGGGAGATCTAAATGTCAAAGTTGGAACAGACAACACCGGATATGAAGATATCATGGGACAACATGGACTGGGTGAGAGAAACGAAAATGGAGAAATAGTATACACAAGGCTACATGGATCTCATTGGACCACACTACAAAGGGCCAGATTGATCATATTTACATCAAAAAAATTCCAAAGGACAATGGAAGATGTGAGAACCAGGAGAGGTGCTGATGTAGCTTCTGATCACCACCTAGTTGTAGCCAATTTAAAACTGAAGCTAAAAAAGAACTGGACAACTGGACAAACAGCATTACAAAGGTTCAATACAGCCTTCCTTCGAGATACTGACAAACTGAATGAATTCAAGATAGCTCTCAACAACAGGTTCCAAGCCTTACAAGATCTACTGAAAGAAGAAGAAACTACTATGGAGGACAACTGGAAAGACATCAAGGAAGCATTAACTTAAACGTGTCAAGAGGTTCTCGGTCTAAAGAAATACCATCATTAGGAATGGATCTCTACAGAAACTCTGGACAAGATCAAAGAAAGGAAGAACAAGAAGGCAGCAATAAAAAACAGCCGAACACGAGCAGAGAAAGTCCAAGCACAAGCTGAATACATAGAAGCAAACAAACAAGCGAAGAGGAGCATTAGAGCCGACAAGAAGAAATACGTGGAAGAACCAGCAACGACGGCAGAAAAAGCTGCTAGGGAAAGAAATATGAAACAGCTTCACGATACAACGAAGAAACTATCAGGGAAATACAGTAAACCAGAGAGGCCGGTCAAAGACAAAGAAGGCAAGCCAATCACCGAAATTCAACAACAGTGTAACAGATGGGTAGAATATTTCGAGGAACTCCTGAATAGGCCGTCTCCAATGAATCCACCGGACATCGAAGCAGCACACACAGATATTCCCATGGACGTCAACCCACCAACGAAGGAAGAAATCAGAATGGCCATCAGACAAATCAAGAACGGAAAAGCAGCTGGACTGGACAACTTACCAGCTGAAGCACTGAAGTCAGACATCGAAGTAACTACAAACATCCTTTATCTTCTATTCAAAAGGATTTGGGGGAGGAACAATTGCCGATGGACTGGAAAGAAGGGCACCTCGTCAAGATTCCAAAGAAAGGAGATCTGAGCAAATGTGAAAACTACAGAGGCATTACACTACTGTCAATACCAGGGAAAGTCTTCAACAGAGTGTTGCTGAACCGGATGAAGGATGCAGTAGACGCCCAACTTCGAGATCAACAAGCTGGATTCCGTAAGGATCGGTCGTGCACAGACCAAATTGCAACACTACGGATCATCGTCGAACAATCAGTTGAGTGGAACTCATCATTATACATCAACTTCATTGATTATGAAAAGGCATTCGACAGTGTAGATAGGAAGACATTATGGAAACTTCTTCGACACTACGGAGTTCCTGAGAAGATTGTCAATATTATCCGGAAATCATACAACGGACTACGGTGCAAAGTAGTGCATGGAGGACAGCTGACAGATGCATTCCAAGTAAGGACCGGAGTCAGACAAGGCTGTTTACTCTCTCCCTTCCTCTTTCTTCTGGTAGTCGACTGGATTATGAAGACCTCAACATCTGAAGGAAAACACGGAATACAATGGACAGCTCAGAATCAATTAGACGATTCAGACTTCGCAGATGACCTAGCTTTCCTATCTCATACACACGAACAGATGCAGATGAAGACAGCCAGTGTAGCAGCAATCTCTGCATCAGTAGGCCTCAGCATACACAAGGGGAAAACCAAGATCCCCAAATTCAAAGCAGAGAACAACTATCCAATCACTCTTGATGGAGAAATTCTGGAAGATATAGAATCCTTCACATACCTGGGAAGCATCATCGATGAACAAGGAGGATCCGATGCAGACGTAAAGGCGAGGATTGGCAAAGCAAGGGTCTCATTCCTACAATTGAAGAACATATGGAACTCAAAACAACTTTCAACCAACATCAAAGTGAGAATCTTCAATACGAACATCAAGGCAGTTCTACTGTATGGAGCTGAAACTTGGAAACTACAACAACCACAATCAAGAAAGTACAAGTATTTATAAGTAGCTGTCTACGCAAGATACTCAACATCCATTGGCCGGATATCATCAGCAATAGCCTTTTGTGGGAGAGAACAAACCAACTTCCAGCTGAAGAAGAAATTAGGAAAAGACGATGGAAATGGATAGGACATACATTACGCAAATCGTCAAACTGCATCACGAGGCAAGCCCTAACTTGGAATCCTGAAGGGAAGCGAAAAAGAGGAAGGCCAAAGAACACATTGCGTCGGATAATAGAAGCAGATATGAAAGTGTGAATAATGACTGGAAAGAGTTTGGAAGGATTGCCCAGGACAGGGTTGGATGAAGAATGCTGGTGAGCGGCCTATGCTCCTTCACGAGGAGTAACAGGAGTAAGTAAGTAAGTAAGTACTTGCTGTTACGTCCAGGTTTTGCGATTGTACTAATAACATATTCGAAAATCATTCTCTTATTTGACTTATTTAATCCCGTTATTCACTAAGGCTTTAAGTCAATGATTATATACCAGGATTGGCAAAATGTGTATTTCAATAGCAATCAGCAAACGATCTAACTGGAGCCAGATTTAGGGCCACAACAGTGCTTTCAGATTTTTGACGCTCGTTCAACTAAGATCATCCGTGACGTAATCTATGAAAATCCAATTGTCTGTACAAACCTTGTATACTAAACACTCATCAGTCAACATATCTTATACTGAATTGTCCTGATATATAGCATTTATGTAAGAGTAGAATTAGAATGTGGTATTAAATATAATCCTGGGTTTGAATCGCGCGTGCGTGATCGTAGATGCGCACTGCTGAGGAGTCTCATACTAAAATGAGACGACTATCCAGTGCTTCCAGGTTTCAACGATCGTCCAATATTCATCGATTCATAATCTTAATCAAAAACTCAAAAATCTTCACGACCCTATACCGTTAATTAAAGTATCAAAGAAATGAAGAATCTGAATTACGAATCTCTGTTATATCAATGTCTAGATCATAATGTATCCACCTACATGAAAAATTCAGATATTTATTGAGGAAACGTAAAATTATTATTATTATCCAGCGTTACTAAATCTAGCAATGGAAACTAATAATTTTAAATAACAGCATATAATCAGAAGGGGTTCTTTGGAGATTGTAGTAATTTCAACAGTTGAGATCATGAGTCAATTGAAGCATATAACACTAATCAACCCATTTAATGGGGATTAGTATAAATTTTGATTTACCTTAACTTACTATTTAATATACCAGTTTTTGAATATTTTAGAAGTTGCCCTCTTAAACAAAATGTACCAGTTAAAAGGATTGGTGGTCTTTTCCTATCAGATCACGGTGTTAAAGTTGAAATTCCACCATATGCTTCTAATGGACGTCGTGAACGAGTTCTTTGTGCAACATTTCCAAGTACAGCCAGAGGAGTTATAGGACCTTGGTTAGGTCCAGATATGCGAATGGCAAGTGAAATACATATGTTATATTCGCCTGTCAGATTCAGAATGCCAGTTGCTGTATTTATCCCTTTCACTTTTGCTGCTACCCGTGAAATGTATCATCCATCCGGATCCATTAATATACCATTTGAAAGCGTAAAAAGACCTGATTCTAAAAGTTTATGTAAGCTAAAATAAAATATTACCCAAAATTTGAAATTTTATTTCTTACATCTACAAAATAACTTATAATTGCTCATTCAGTAATCCATTCAAGCATTTCTACTATTCCTTTACTTCCTAAATGATTTGAAGTAGTTTATATCCTACAACATTTCATCTAAATAAAAATAAGCTGATAAATATTTATGACTTAGTATCATTGAGAGGATGATCAGATATAAGTGAGATTTATGATTTATGAAGTATGAACACTCATTTCATCAGACAGTAGTTTGATAATTAACTGATCTTGAAGGTGAATTTCGGAATTATAAACATGACATTATTTATTGTATATACATATCACAATTTATTGATTTAACTGACAAGTAAGATAACACCTAGTCAATTGGACTAGTAAATCAGTTTCGGTTACACAAAACAAAAATCAACAAGAATGGAAGACGATATTTAATTGGATGAGAATTAAGAACACCAATGAATATAAAATAACTAATACTGAATCATGGAATGTCGAAGATTTATATAAAAATAGTTAAAACAATATGCACTATGTTGTGACTTTTACCAGGCTAATTATCACGTGAACTACTGTGCCACAACAGTGACGTATCGACCGGTATAAGCAGTCTAGCGTTCTTATCGGCCCCTTTTCTGCCTAGCCCTGCCTGTTGGGTCCAGAACACTAACATCAACTTCCAATATACGAATCATTTATTTCAATATGTTTTGTCTATATACAAACAAACAGACAAACCAGACCATATCACATCATAAAATAAAAAATAACAATTGTAAAAGGCCAAGTCCGAAAGTGGCTGTGATTGTGAGGAACTGCAATTAATAAACTGAGTATAACTTAAGAATAGTTAGTCGTATAATCATAGTCTATAAGTCAAAATAAGGCTTATCATGAGAGGAGCATAAATATACATAATCTCGTTACTCAATAGGAATACAATAAGAATATATGTATAATATTAGTCCATTAATAGCTCTAAGAAGTTACATATAATTTAATTTTCGTTAGGATATAACACACCATCGTAACTTATTCTTTTTAGAAAAATTAGGAATATCGAGAATAACCACTTCAATACATGAACTCAGTTATATATAATTTAATTTCCAGTTAAAATAAAATTTTTGTCTTCTTACGATGACAATAAAATAACAAAAGTACTCAAAACTGAGCTACAGAAACTTACACTACCACTAATATTGTATTGGGTTAACCAGTTTGTTTAATAAATAACGACAGTGTCTCGTTTTTTTATATTTGAATAACAGAAAAACTTCCATTCTATGAAATCGCCTAAAAGAGATCTCTTTCCTGAGTCACTCGCTTGCTACGTGTTCTTGAAATCTCTCTCTCTCTCTCTAAAGAAGCTTGGACAATATAACAAAGTAATAGTCTATGACTAAATGACTTTTTTATGAACCAGTTACTACCATATATAATAGCCTAAAACATATTCTGTTCACTGTTTATTTCTAACATTAACGTTTACGACAAATAATAAAAAAATTTAGCTTAAAGTTAACAATGAAACGTTTCCGTGATTTACTTTGGACAAAATGTAGAAGATAAGCAGACCACAACATGACGTTAATCTATTAGGTGACTGGTTATCCAACTGAGTGCAGTTGCGAGGTAAGAAATTCCTGGTTGAGTTTCCTAAGGTAATAGTTACCTATGTTTGATAACAGAGCTAAAGATTATCTAACTCTAAATTTTGAACACACTATGGTTCTACTTTCTTCGTTCCCCTATTCGCTTATCCCTTTATGAACTATACTGTTCGTATTTTATTTTTTATGATTACGGGTATTATTTCTTGAACTTATTTTAGAGCATTAATTTCTTTTTTCTGTGTTGATATCATAAGTCACCTTGAGTCGATGAGTATGTCACTAATAAGTTGTTTTTGATAACTTGTGAAAATTCTAATAAACATTGATATATATCACTTATTCTTATTATTTCATTGTAGTACATAATGGTATTCAATCTAATAAAACTTCAGCTAGACTGAGAGGAAAACCACCATACTCAATGCATTTTGGGAATCATCTTTCAACAGCACCCAGTTTAATTAATGCTAGAAGTGTTTCACTACTACAATGCCGTCTTGGAGATGATTGCTGGCATGTAGTGAAAGAATTTACGGTAAATGATATTTTTAGTTTAACTGATAATGAATATTATTATTTTATCATAAAATCGAAAATGACTAGATAAAATCACTAATTAGTTCATCCCTGGAGTACTTAAAGTACTGAAATTGTACTTTTATAATTTTAATAGGAATTGTGATTTGAGCTGCATTCTTAAGATGACAATCATCTTTACTCTATTAAACTCATCCTTAAAATCATAAATAAATCACAGACTTCGTGTATGGGTTTAAGATTTATACGAGAGAGATTTAACTTTAAGTTAAAATGAGTAGCAAATAAAATTAATGTCCATAGATCTATTAATCAAACATCAATAAAGTCCGTTACCTGTCACATTTAATGATTATAAACTCATTTGTTCTTAGAAGAAGAAAATTCTAGTAAAAATAGAGGCTGGTTACGAAATGTAAATGAACATATGTAGACCAGATCTCAAAGAGGGAATATTACTTCTGCTCTGAACAAGATACTTTACATAAATATGTGTATATGAAAAAACATGGATATTGATGTTTCAAAAATAGGATTTTTACTCGTTAAAGAGGGATAGTCTTCAGTTATTGAATGCTTTCTAATTATAGCAATCATCTAATTATTCTGATATACACGAATGAAATCATAATTTTCATGTAATATGTAACATGAATTAACTTAGAATACATGACGAAAGTTTAGGACTGATATGCATGTACAAATTGTTAGATTTAAAGAAACTGTATTGTTGGATTAATTAATTTCTCCACTTATCTATATTGTTCACAGTACAGCTCACTAAGAAAACGTACCAGTGAATAAGAAAAATCCGGATTTAGTTCACAGCTTTACGTTGCATATGATGTTAGAAATACTACCCATAGTGCACCAATAGTTGACATTAAACATTGAGATGATTTTGATTTCTCTTTACTAACGTATTTTACAGTATGTACCAGTATATAAAATACAAGAACGATATTTTTCATATCTCAAGCGACTATATGAACAGTATAGTATTTAAATTTAAGGTCTTTGGTACCACAAATAAATCAATTGGTGAGTTTTACAAATTTGTTTAGTCCGAAACAGTCAGGTTAGATTATATATTTATATTAAATCAATGAGAGATAGTACTTAAAGTAAAAGGAGATTATAACTAATAGTTGGACCAAGTAGAAAAAAGATTTTAATTTCTAAAATCTGTTAGATCACATAAGATCAATGACTTGTTTTAGACTAAAATAAACCATACTTGACCGAAGTACGTTTTTTTCTTTCCCGCATTCGATCATTTGTTCAATTCACCATTCAATGTTTTTATCAATTCACTTGTTGATTAACCATCTCTACCACGTTATAACGTGACAAGCTGGACTAATTTCATTACAACCCAGAACACTGAGTTGTTTATATAACTGATAATGATATTTAAGAGTTATTAGTTACCTACACCGAAATTAAAGATTTATAAGTTATTTCTTTGATGCAAGAAATATATTATTTTACTGTTCTTAGATTGTTCAACCAACAATTCCTTATGTCGACTGGCCATTAGAAGCTTGTGAATTAACGTCACAAACAAGTCGATGGTCAGTAAACAATACTGCTTCAGAGAATTTCTCTTCGCTTTCAATAAAACTGGGACAATTATTATTAAAGAAAAGTAATTTTGACAATATTAGAGTTAAACAAAATGATAATCGATTAGAAAATGAAAACTTACCGTATGATTTTGTAAATAAAATTGAAAACTATTGTGGTGGTGTTTTCATTCACACAGAAGAACTAAATCATTGTTACATGCTAGTGAACTCAACTAAAGCAGCACAATTTTATATCAATCCTAATGGTGGATTATTTTTCTCTCCATTACTTGATCCATTTTTATCTGTACGTATACCAAAACGCGTCTGTCCTACTTTTGAACAAACTATTTTCAAAGTGAGTATTTATAATGTTTCGAATTATTTGAATTTGAGTATGAACTAAGAATCCCAGAAATAACGTAATCAAATAAAGAAGTACTAGATAGGCAAAAACGAATGTACTGTATTTAGAATTCGAAATCAAGCATTTAACAAGTACAAAAGAATCATTAGTTCATTCAAACACCACAGTATTTCATTTGAACTTAACACTGATTATTCAGTAATATTATGCATAATAACATAAGAATATTCCAATAAAAGTGAAATAGGAGAATGATTACAACTGGAAGAAAATTTATTCTCAGTAGGATTCCTTTTGGTTCCTTTTATTTTAAGACTTATATGTTTAAAAGGATGAAGATTCCAGATTCTAAGATTTTAATAGTAAAACTATGTATTTCACAGCCCAGTATTCCAATGAATCATGTATCAATACATAAACAGACTTAAACAATTATCTGAAATCTACTTTAAAAGAAAGATAACTTATCAGGCAGACAAATAGAAACAAATTGGATAGCGGTATAAATGGATATTACTCAATGTTCTCATAATCCTTTCTTCTTCTGAATGGATAAGATCGTAATAAGAACTAAAATGACTATGTCATTGTAGACTTAATTATTCTCTTTGAATTTTTTTCACTACAATCATGAGGACTAAAAATGATAAATGTCACAAATATTTGTAGAAACGACGTATAAATACAATTACTGTCATAATAACGGATACTGGATATAAAGAGAGATGATTTTTGAAAAAAAGTTGGTAAAATAATACGAAGGCAATATTCACCGTAATTTCACTGAGATTTGTGATTACTTACTTTTTTACTTACGCTTGTTACTCCCAATGGATCATAGGCTGCCGACCAGCATTCTCCAACCTACTCTGTCCTGCACCTTTATTTCTACTTCCTCCCAATTCTTGTTCATTCTTCTCATGTCTGTTTCCATTTCTCAGTGTATTATGTTCTTTGGTCTAACTCTCCTCCTTTGACCTTGAGGATTCCAAGTGCGAGCTTGTCTTGTGACGCAGTTCGGTGATTTCCTCAATGTGTGTCCTATCCACTTCCATCACTTCTTCCTGATTTCTTCCTCTGTTGGGATCTGGTTTGTTCTCTCCCACAGTAGGTTGTTACTGATAGTGTCTGGCCAACGGATGTGAAGTATTTTGCGTAGACAGTTGTTAATAAACACTTGTATCTTCTTGATGATGGCTTTAGTGGTTCTGTAAGTTTCCGCCCCAACTAGTAGAACTGTCTTGACATTTGTATTGGAAATTCTGACCTTTGTGTTGGTTGACAGTTGCTTTGAGTTGCAGATATTCTTCAGTTGTAAATATGTTGCTCTCTCTTTGCCGATCCACGCCTTCACATCTGCATCATAACCACCATGTTCATCGATGATGCTGCCTAGATAGATAAAGGTTTTTACCTTTATGTTTTACAATCAGACATCAATTAAATAACCAATGGAAACTAGAGAGTAGTGGATAACTCTTGTATTCTACACCTCACCTCCACAGCGATGTGAATCTAAGATAGAATTATTAACCTTCGTTTCTAAATTCAGTCATACATTTAAAACTTAAAGAATTAATCGCAATATAATCACTGCAAAACCTGAAGGTCACGAGCTCGGCTTGTGAAGCTCCACTGCTGTAACGCCTCTAAGTGTGTGGAAATAAAAATGTCAATCGTTTTCATAGTCAGTTCATAACAAAAATATATCTACAGCTCTAACAAATTTTCACTAATCGCCTAAAAAAATAATTTGCCACTAATTATAGTTTGTTGTATTCATTATTTTAGGTAAATGTAAATCATTATTTTATGAACTTTCAATGTTCTAGATTCTTATTTGATTTTTCTTTCCGATTTACATTGTGTTATATGTAACTTCAAAGAAAATAGAAATACGAAATACTTGGTTGAATTCAGCATGTCAATTTGATTCTCAACTCAATGAAATCGAAGGTTGTTCTGATATTTTTGAATTTCAATTACAAGATATAGTGTTAAAAAGACCTGCAACAATACACTTACCATTACCTCAATGGTACATTAACAAATTTAACAAATCAATAAATTCTTTAACACAAACTAATATAATTGTAAATGGAATTGAAATGGATCGTTTACCAGATGTACCTGTTTATTATGTAAAAAATACAAATGTAACATTATCTACTGATGATAGGAGATTAGTTATTCTGTTTCAAGTATGTCACCTCAAATTTTTATTGGTATATTTTATGAAAAAATTTCATTCGATCTGTTACTAGAAGAAAGAAGATAAGATTCATCAATTAACTAGAGTTTTACTAGAAATATACTATAAAACTAAAGATTATACTTATTAAAAGTTCATGTAGTTTATAAACTTGAATTATCTCAATTCAATTATGTTAAGTTTATAGCTTCATCCTACGCAGTGTAGTTCCTAGCTACCTTATACAACAATGAATGATAATCTATTATACACAAGAACTTATTGGAGAATGTGTAGGTAGTTAGAATGTTTGTAGACGTCCGTTAATACTGTTTATTATATTGGCTAATGAGCTTTCTAACGTAATATTTTGATACCTTGTCTTATGTACAATTGCATGATACTCTTAATAACTCTGTACGTTTATAGTTAGAGTAGAAGTTTTTTGAACGTATAAATTCCTACATTAAAGCATAACCTAAGTCTATGAAATTACTAACTACATGTATAAAATATGTTTTAAAACAGTGTTTGTTTGAACAAAGGCAATAGAATAAAATAAAAATCAATAATCGCGGGTTTAAAATGTCATATCTTAGAATACAATTACCTATTACTGTATCCTCTTAATGAAAACTTCATGATTATAGGTCCATATATCCTGTTTAATGTAGTTTCATTTTATGTACCTTTTTGTTAATACTTCTGATCACTTCGTTAAATCTTTGAATCCCTTACTTTCCAACTAAACCAATATCACAAATAATTTTCCTATTTCAGATTATATTTTTACTCACTAATAATTTTTGTTCATTGTATAATATACTCATGTTTCCAGGTTTTCCATAGTGATCTAGTTTCAATGGACACATGATCTCAACTATTAAAATTACTATAATATTCACACAAAAAACCCTCTTCTGATATTCATGCAATTTTATTAAAATCTCACAATTATTCACTATGTTTAATGTTAAGAAATTCATACAGAACTATATCATTCTGTATATTTTTTGTCTGATTTGTCATTTAGGAGAAGCTAGATGAACTCAAGTTTACTTTATATTATTTTCAATCTTAATTCATTGATAATATCATCAGATCATCCAAAACTATCAATATGACATTACTCGGAATTCAAATTTTTAACTCTACAGGTCATAGATGCCTAACACAAAACTTCATATCAGTTTCAGTTTGGAAAGGACAGGAGGCTTGATGGCCTGTGTTAGTCCTGGCACTAGTGGCCTCTCAATTGATCCAACTTTCTTTTGAAAGTCAACGGATAGGGCCTTAACCACGTGCTGAGGTTATGAATTCCACTCGTTGGTGATTCGATGGGAAAGTCGATAGTCAGCTGACAAGTAATTTGTTCTGGGCTTGTGAACTTTTTTGGAGTGTTCTCGTAAATTCTCTGTTTTGGAAGACAAGAAAAATGAGGGCAGATCATGTGAAAACTTATCACTAAGCAATTTGAAATCTGTAATCAAGTCGCCTCTAATTCTCTGATATGACAACGCGAATAGATTTAGCTTGGCCAGTCGAGCGTCATACGGGAGCTTCGTTATTCCGGGAATCAACTTAGTTGTTGTTCTCTGAACCTTTTTCAAAAATTCACTGTCTTTTTTTAAACAGGTGTTAGCCTCTTGTATGCGGTACTCAAATTTAGGACGCACGATTACTGTATACAAAGTCAAAAACGTTTTATCGTCGACCTGACTAAAAGCCATACGTATTGACCATAAAGTTCTAAAACCTTTGGCGGCTATTGCACGGTAGTGTGTAGTAGTCTTTAAGTCTGAGCTAACAGTAACTTTTAAGTCATTATGAATCTGGACAACAGGTAGCTCAGTGTTATATCATTTCTTTTAATAAAACGTTTAAATTAAAAACATCCTAAATCCCTACAATTAAATCTCTCAACATACCATGTAAACCTGATGTGAATGTCCCTTCAATTAGGCCAAAAACGATTTAATAAGATAATCTACTGTAGTGAATAAGAACACCAGTGGGGACAATCGAATACACACAAGTACGAAATTACAGAACATCTAACTAAAATCTGAGAACCATATAGTAAATAGTTAATTTGCAAAATATGAATCCATCATCTCAGACTTGACTGTTCCTGTTGCAAACATCAATCCATTTTCTCAGATTTCTTTGTTCATGAGTTTTCATACCAATTGCGTTCCTTTTCCGTTCTTTCCTCATCGATCTTCTATTGAAATACATTCTATGCCTGACCACCATTATATACTACTTATGTGGATATAAGTAACCCACACCATACTACTACAGATTATAATTTCTACAATATAAAAACAAACATTCATACTCATAAATCTATATTAGTTATTTCTTTATTATTATTATTATTATTATTATTATTATTATTATTATTATTATTATCCAGTACAACTGTTTTATCCCTGTTTATTCTCTTAATAATAGCCATCTGGATATATAAAACAAATTGTATGGCAAAGTGCTAAAGTTAATGAGATAGACGAAAGGGAAATATTTAAGATGAAATCATCTAAAAATATTGATTGTATAGAATCTAAGAATTCTTCGAAATGTAAAATAGATAATATTTTTGTGCAATTAGGATGGTCACATTTACTAGTTGGTATAAGAGGTGGATTGTGGCAAACAATGAAACAATCAGTTTATTATACTAAAAGAACTATTTCATTTGATACAACAGTTTTAGGAAGGTAAGCAAAAAATTAATGCATTTTGTAATTCATTTCAACCATAGTGATACTCTCAGTGTTATATATATTTTTTACTTACGTCTGTTACCCACTTCATGAAGAAGCATAAGCCTCCGATCAGCATTCTCTATTCAACTGTATCATGGGCAATCCTTTTCATGTCTGCTTCCGATTCTCAACATAGTTGTTTTATTTGGTCTTCCTATTTTCCTCTTCTCATCAGGACTACAAGTTATGGCTTGCCTCGTGATGTAGTTTGATGATTTTCATAATGTATATCCTATCCACCTCTAATGTCTTTACCTGGTTTCCTCTTCGACTGGAAACTGGTTTGTTCTCTTCCATAAGTTGTTACTGATGGCATCCAGTCAACAGACATTAAATATCTTGCTTAGAAAATTGTTTATAAATACTTGTACTTATATGATAATGATTGAAGTCGTTCTCCAAGTTTCAGTTCCGTACAGCAGAACTGTTCAGATGTTTGTATTGAAGATTCTCACTGTGATATTGGTTGACACTTGTTTTGAGTCCTATTTGTTCTTCAACTACATATATATTAAAAAAATACCAACTAGGAGACTATTTGTGTTACATATCTATGTTTCAGCTTAACATTTAGTCGAGGAATGTACAATTTAGTACTATTAACAATTGAGTGAGATAAGTGACGATGGTTGGATGACAATGAGTTTAGATGTTTTTGCAGAGACTATTAACTATGTATGAATCGCTGAAAATATTTACATAGTGTTTTATTTTCTTGAGTCACTGTGAATATGAGTGTAAAGATTGTTTATTATAAAGATGGCTTTTGTTGTTTTATTACATAGATAGTTGTCAGATGATTCCATTCAAACATTCATCTTATTTTATTTTTATAATTTTCACGTTTCGCTTCAATTAATTAGTTCCTTTTACTATTTGAATCATTGTTTAAATTCCATACAATTCGGAGATTATTTTTATCTACATTTAACCAGTTCCTTTATACCCATCATCTTAGAAATGTTTTCATTTGTAGATATTTGTTCATTTTCAATTTCAGTTAGTTTGTTTCTATATTCTCTTGATTTTATATGTAACCTCTCAGAGATATTAATTTAGTTTTGTTCTGCGTTCGCATGAATGTTTAACTTAACTGTTTAAATTTCAATACTGGTAGTTATCACTGTGTCTTCCATGTAATTAAAATGTTTCTGAATTACAACCACAATACATTTTACTTGTCTCTAAACCATCTGCATCATCAATTAATTTACTTGATATAACTTTACTACTCACAAGTAGGTTGTTCGTAGTTAAGTATTTGTGATAAAGTAATAAGATTTACTCACTTGTTCTATTAGTAATCCTTTGAACAATAACTACAAACTACTTCGTTACGAAAGTGCGAAGATATACTAACTTTTATTTTCATATGACCTACTTTTTTTGGGTGCATGATACCTCAGGTCTCAATGATATATGTTTGTTTAGAAAATAACTTGTCGTTTAATAATGTTCGGTAAACTGGTTGATTGGACTTATGATATTATGTCTTGTCATTTTAATCTTTATGTTAACTGTTTTGTTTGCTATCGTTATGCTATACAAATAAAGATTTGTAATGATAGGAGCACGAAATTCAGATCGCAAAACAAATGATAAATTAGAGCACTTGATGACACAAATTGAATCATTATCATATGCTCCGCCCGGTGCAATACTGATTTGCTTACATATAACAACAAATAATTGGCAAATTATGGCTAACGTTTATCCTGAAGAACGATTAAATGAAGTTATTGAAAAACTAATATCAACTGGTTTTATTCCACTTGTTCAAGTAAGTAGAAAATTATTTTCTTAATTTAAATACCGTTAAAGTTTAATATTCAATGTTAGTATTTTCACTTAATAGTTGTAATTCAAAACAATAGTTTGTAATAAATAGTAGGAATCCCTGTTACTTCGAGGATTTCAGTAATTTGTATCCATCACGTTAATCTATGCGTTCGGGATTCCACTGCTAGCCACTATCCATCTTTGCTTATAATGCTTGTAAATTAAGGCAATATCGAGGCAATACGCACGTATGTACATATGACAATAAGAGACTGATCAATTTCACTCCTAAACATCAATGGGAAGATTCAAGTAAAACAATACCAAGTGAATTAAACTTCACCCCATTGTACAAGCAAGTGGCTATCAGGACTCAGTAGCTATGTGGATAACGCGATGGCGTTTGAAGTGAAAGGTACTGGGTTTGAGTACCTGAGGTGTAGGTACATCCAGCTGACGAGTCCAAACTAGGATGAAACTCGTGTCCGGGATTCCACTGCTAGCCACTATCCATTTTTGCTTATTATGCAGAAGAAATTCGAAAACTCATTAAGCTCACTTAGTCATAACTTCATATTAAATATAAAATAATCAAAAGTAATAAATTCAGCCTAATATGTGACATACGAAACAAAACTAATTTTAGGCTGAAAATAAAGCTTATATAAGAGGTGTTATTAGGTAGGCCGTAACTGTACGAAGCTGGCTTACTTTCTCCTCATAAATTTATGCCAAAAAAGAGAGTAACTTCAATGATAATTACATAAACACTAAAAGTATTCGATCCCTGCCTACTATATAGCATAATTTTGGCAAAAAACTATTGCTCTTAAATAATCTGAAAATTATTAGAATTTCAGTTTTAATCCGTAGCTCTAAGTGATTAAGTGGACAAAATGGACGTACTTAAAGCAAATAATGTTACATTCGAACGATAAATAAATGAATCGTAACCGCTAGGAATTATTTATAGATTATTATTATTATCATATATATATATATATTCCCATTGGATAGCTATTAAGTAATTAGTCTATGTTTATATTCACACTCCATTTATCAGAAAATGTCATCTGACCTATTTATTACTATTATACGATTTACTATTCTCAAGTTATTCCCAATCGATTAGTTACAGTCTCTCACACTCACAGCCACTTTTGGGACTGATCTGGTATAATTGTTATTTTTTATCTCATGATATGATGGGATCTGGTTTGCTTGTGTATAAACTACATGCGTCTGAAATATATTATTCATACAGTGTAGGTTGAGATTGCATTCTCGACTAAGCAGGCAGGGTTAGGCGAGAAACTGCTATACAGAATACCGATAAGGACTAAGAGTTGACTCAAGGCTGCTCGTACTGGTTAACGCATCATTAGCTTAGCACAGAGACAAGGTCATATAGGTCGGTGTTCTGATTGGTGATTTTGTCACGTGATAAGTGACAGGAGCAAAGTCAAAACAAATAAGACACTAAAGGAATGAACTATTAATTAAAAAGCAATATAGTTATTGACTTACCAAACGCTGGAATCTAAGGACTTGACTTCAGAAGCCATTAAGTTTATCTAGCATAAACTGAATTATAACTGAAGGCAAACCAATGGGAGGCACAACCAAAACAAAGAAATAAACAATGACAAATTTAAGGTCAATAAGAACCAATCAACATTAAGGTGTAAGGAACAAGCTGTGAAACGTATACAGAGAAATCCGAACACTTCACTTCAATCTGAAGTTTGTGTTGATGATGTCGTTCAGAAGAACGATGAAAGCTCCACGACCAAACCATCCAGCTCAGAGAACAAAACTGCACCGAAATCATCCACCTGAGCTACAAATTTTCTCCGCTGTTAGATTGTAAAATTAAGAAAATGAATGCACTGAAATAGTTCTTTAAATCAATTATTTTATACCACTTTTAAAAAAAATGGTTTTATAGTCATTTTGACTAATCAATATTTTGCATTCTTACGTTTTTCTTTGGTGAACATAAACAAGAAAGAAATAGAGATGAATTTTCGAAGAGAGAATGGTTTCATTTTTTTAGTGTATGGTCAGTTTTCAACTGTAAACAGTCAAGATAACTTGCAAATTATCATAGATATTTTTGAAGCAGTGACCAGTCGAATTCAGCCGGGTCTGCTGTGAGATAGCAACTCACTGAAGACAATGGTGGACGGTGGGGTAATTTCGTGAATTAGTTGAAGTTAGATATTAACACAGTTGAATGTTGGCTCAGTGGTTTAGAGGTTAAGCGCTCGCGCGCGACACCGAAAGCTTCTGGGTTTGAATCTTGCAAGGCGGAATCGTGGATAAGCACTGCTGATGCGTCCTATACTAGAACGAAACGGCCCTCCAATGCTTCCATGTTTTCCATGATGGTCTAGCTTCAATTGACTCATGGATTCAACTATAAAATTATAATTTAAATATTATCATTCTTCTTGCATTAAACAATTAGCATCTTTAGGGTATTCAATATATTGTCATATATTTATTATTGATACTGATTAGCCGAAGTTTTAATCTGTATAGAAGTGATAAAAATCCATGAAATGAATTCATTTAATTCAACGAATCTATTTATTCCTGTCATGCTCAAATCAATATTTTGTTACAGAATCCACTAAACTATGTACTGAAAATCCTTTTTCAACATACTTGAGTAGGATACAAACTTTTGAACCATCATCTGACTACATACTGTTATTTAGAATTTTACTTAATGACTTAATAACTTTAAAAAACATTCACGTTTATAAGTAGTGCATGCACAAATGAAGTAGTTTTCCAGTCCTGTTGGTTTTACGGGAAGTTCATAATCCAAATAAATAAACAAGACTTAAAATAACCTTCATCAATCACAATCATAAAAGTTTTTATTATTATCTGACCGATGGATTCCTAAAGAATTATCAATCCTAACAAGCAAAATTCATAATAGTAATTTACTTGTAAACTATTCTGAGTGTTCATATACATAAGTGAAAATTAAGGCATTTGAATTGCTTTGTTATAACACCTTTTTATCAGTTCATTTCAGTGCACATATATATATATATATATTTCTTTTAAAGTTTAGTACTGGAGTAGTCAGGAAAGCAATCGGATTAAATAATGCAATTTTACAAACAATAGAATGTAATCGAAATGTTAATAATGAAGTAAGTTTATTAAATATTTCTGTATATAATTAAAGTTTCCCTTGTTATAACAATATAAATTACGTAATAAATGAAACTAAATAATTTAAAAGGTCAAGATCAATTTTGAAATAAAAGTTATAAAGAGATTTAGACTATAAAATGGACTATAAGCCAATGAACTACTGAATTAAGTCAACCCATTCAACTTTCGATCAATATCTCATGAGAAAAAGTAAAGAATATATTTAAGTTTTATAAAAAAAGTTTTACTATTTGTTTCAGATTATACCAGTCTGTAATGGAAACTATTTTTAAAATAAATGATTAGTTATAGTGTGATGTGTGCTACTGATGTCGATAGATAGAAGTAGTATGTATCATCACTCGAAAGTAAGATGCCTGGCGGTAAAAATTTAAGAAGTGGATGAGAACAGAGAATGATTAGTGTGGAAACGAAGGAACAATGAAGTCTGAGACGACTGACAGATATCTTACAAATGAAGTACTTATGGTATAGTGTTCAGATTTTAATAAGATGTTCTGTAATGTTATATTAGAATACATTCGATTGTCCCCACTTGTGTTCTCATTCACCACATTATGGTGTCACTGCCAACCAGAAGGGAGGAAGGGTGTTATTCTGCGGACTCGATTACGAACCTGGAGCTGAGGTGCTAGTAGGTCTAATAGCTTTAACTAAAAAAAGTTGTTATAAACTTTGTTTATGAGTTCATGAAGTATTTTATGTGTTATTTCAATAATGTTTACATTGTTGTTTATTATTTGTTCTCAATGTTTTTTTCTCTCCTATGAATTCAATATAGTTAATGTTTCTTACATGATTTTTATCATGTCAACTATGTATTAACGTTCATTAATGACCTCTTACTATATGTATTGTATATAAGTAAAAATAAATGTTAATTAATAATACAAACAATCCAACTCTATTTTAATGGATCTATTTAATCTTTAATAAAAACAACTGAGTTTTAATACCAATTTTATTGATTGAAATCATGAGTCAATTGAAGTTAGGCCACCATGGAAAACCTGGAAGCACTGGACGGCCATTTCGTCCTAGTGCGGGACTCCTCGTCAGTGTGCATCCCTGATCCCACACCCCGCGAGTTTCGGACCCAGGACCTATCAGTTTCGCTCCAGGCGCTTAACAAACTAGACCACTGAGCCGGCATCCAACGGTGTTAATGTTTAACTTCAACCAGTCCACAAAGTTGCGCCACCGTTGGATGCCGGCTCAGTGGTCTAGGTGTTCAAGCGCCTGGCGCGAGACTGATAGGCCTTGGGCTCGAATCTCGCGGGAGGCGGGACTGTGGATGCGCACTGCTGAGGAGTCCCATACTAGGACGAAACGGCCGTTCAGTGCTTCCAGGTTTTCCATGGTGGTCTAGCTTCAATTGATTCATAATTTCAATCAGTGAAATTTCTAAAATCTCCACAAAACCCATTCCGACCAATGTTATTGTTGTTTTGTTTTGTCTAAAATGTTATCAATTGTTGTCCATTGACTTATTTGGTTCATTATTTTTTTCTCTTTCTTTTCCTTCACTTAAATATTCATAGAAAGTAAATAAAATAAAATATTATCGTGTAACTGGATATGATATTAATCATATATTAATGTTGAATGGTTTATGTTTAGAATTACGTTTTCATGGTGATATACAAATAAAATCAACTAGTCAATTTGATCCATATACAAAATGTATTCATAATAAAGAAAAAGAACTATTGATCAATCATTCCACATCTTCTGAATTGATAACATTAGAAAACAATGAAACAATTAAATTATCAGATATTAATTTTGACTTGGATATTCAATTGAATAAACAAATTGAACAATTGACAAATGAAATAAAACCGGAAAAATTATCACATACAGAATTATTAAGTAAACATGCAAGAATACAATTACATGAATTACTGTCAGATACATCATGTATTGTTGAAATTGAACCAATAGAATCTTTGGAAAACAAATATTCTGAACGCAATGCTATAAAGTTAGTTGACAATATTTTGATATTGTAAAAGTATAGGTTCGTTTATTTATTGGTATAACAGTCTATGAGTTTTTGGTATTACCTAACAATAGATAGAGAATTGAAAGTGAAAAAAACTGAAACACAAATGCTGTATACATAAGGACTCATGTCTGTTTTGTCCACTGTGTATTGGTAGACAGCGATAGAGTATTACTTTCACGAAAATATTCCCAATACTATTTGTTATGGTTAGTTATAATAAGGTACTCATTCTTTGATTTTTCTTTTAGGTAGTATAAATTCCTAAACATTTGTAAAATTTATTGGATAATTCTAATTTCGTTTTTTTGATATTGGTTTAAGGAATAACATTGGTACTCATCAATAACACTAATTTACATCTACCCCATCTGCGAACTTAGACTGCTTTTATCCTCAGTTTGTTTTTTTTCTCCATTTTAACGAACGAATATAATGAAAAAAAATCATTTTTATAGAATATGTTTAGTTTTCATTGGTAGTTCTTTGAATAATTTCAACTTTTAATGATTTAATTCATTAATAATGAATATCGGAGATTTCATAACTTAAACTGAAATCGGATAGAATTATCAGGTATAACCCATCGTAATCTTGCCTAATGCATACAAAATTCATAGATTTAAAAAGATATCTATTTTATTACCAATCCCAGTTATATACAAACAATTTTCATCCCAGTATAAAACATTTATTTAAACTAAAACAGCTACTGAGATGGTGGAGAAGATTTCTAGCGCAGACGGATGATCTTGATGGAGTTTTGTTCTCTGAAATGAATGGTTTAGTCGTGGAGCTTTCATCATCAGCACAAACTTCAGGTAGGAGTGAAGTGTTCAAATTTCTTCACATGTGGTCCACTGCTTGTCCTGTACACCTCGATATTGATTGGTTCTTGTTGGTCATAAACCTGTCATCTCCCATTGGGAGACAAACAAAACAAAGAAGTAAACAATGACAGGTTGATTTAACTGTATTTCAACTAAATGATAATCAATTAGAAATCTTCACCAAATAAGTAACCATTAATGAGCATAAAATTGTAGTGATATCATCAATAGAGGGACAGTTTATTGAGAATCAAATTATTAATCACAACTGAGATACACCGAAAGTTAATAAACAGAATTTACTCTGAATGATGAAATACGTTAAAATGATCGAAAGGAAACTAACTTAAATCAATATTTAAAATAAGGTTGGTTTCTTACTTACACATTGTATTTGGGAATCTGGAATTCTCAACACATCCTCTTATTAATAACGTGCTCCTCTTGAGTACACATAGAATTGAACACCCTGCCGCCGCTGTTTGCCCAACCATCCTCTGGGATGCAAATTTACTTGTTCTAGAGGCGCAACCCTTATTCTTTCTTACGTGTCAGTCGAGGGCTGCAGTAAGCTGAAGGTGTCTATTGGCATTTCTCGTAACAAGTTGCCTGTTTCTGTCGTACGTTTCGTTGATGCACGTCTTCGTAACTAAATGAGATGTCACATCCATTAGTCTTTTCCAACCTCCACCTCATAGATTACTTGCCCTAGTACTCTTACAACACACACCTCTATCAACGTACCATATCTCGGTCTGTAACCTTGGACGAACAAATCGTTATGAAGAAGCGAATATTTGGATAATTATAACTTGTGGAACTATTTTACGGACTATTATTGTTTACATTTTCACTGTATAATTACTAGGTAATAGGATTATCGTATTTCTATATTCCATGTACTGTGAATTTCCATCAGACCTGCTAATTTTAATTATTACCAATAAACTATTTGCTGTTTCTCCATTCTGTCACTTATGGAATGGTCGTATGCAAAGTATTTCTTCTTTGTAATGCGGTGCCGTCTGATAATTAATGTTCATCAACCAATGTGTGTTCAAACTAAATATATTGAGTGAGTGAAATATAAATAATAGAACCTTGTCTGTTGTTTTTTCTCATCGGATTCAGAACTGGGTATAGAAGTTGTGCATATAAGTGGACCGATAGAAGTTAAGATTATCTCGACTTCAGTTCAAGTTTAGTCTTGTTAACTCTAAGATATCATTGATCAAAGCCTAGGAAACTAAGCTAAGTACGAAAAACTACACACAGGGTAGAAGAAATGTAAAGAGAATTGTGACTAGTGGATCGTTAGATTTGATCAACTGCTCACTCGTGGCACACAGGAGATCCAACTTCTAATACCGAGGCTTCTGGTGTTGCTATTTTCTCACAGGTAATGCTTTTAGGTAATATCAGATGGTGAATTGTTCTCATCCCTTAACCCACAAGGATTTCCAATAATTAATCCCGATTTGGTAATTAGTCATTTTGACTAGTGCGGTACATAAAACAAAAGTTGTGCAATATATTGACGGGCGTCCCCCCTGATTTTAACAACATTCTTTAAAAGATGTCCAGAAACTGTTCTGTTTGCTCACTTGACTGGGAATGGTGTAGCACTGAGATTATATGTATGAGATGTTGGGGGCAGAATTCACTAAAATGGCTAGAGGCAATAGGGAATCCGTTACCTGACGCCTAAGTATATACAGTTAGTACTCATAATTATTTAGTTCGAGTGAATCTGAAATCGAAAGGTTAATTAGCATGGTTACGCCCTTGGAAAATAAGTAAGCCGAACGTTAGGACAGGCAGCCTTATTCACTCAACATTCCATGTGAATTTTTTACCATCGAAAAGCATCTAATATTTCTTTTTGTTAATAATGAATGTAAAACTCATTTAAAAGTCATGTTTTTCTAGAATCTCTGTATATATATAGTAAACGCCTATACCTCAACTCCTAGAAGTCACCTATAGAATAAATGTATTGGTTTTTAAAACTTACTGGCCTATATCTAATAAATGAGTGTTTTTACCCTTCAGATTACAGTACCTATCAGAATTGTTAAATAAACCTACTCCTCAGGATCCAGCTTACCAGAATGACAACGTTAATGAATTTATGGAAGATTCTATTTTAGGAGATGAAGAGACAATGAAAACACTCGAAAATAGTAGAAGTTTGGATGTTACAATTACAGAAAACAAGTCAATAAAAGACCAGCCATCTTCACCGACAATCATTAATCAAGATTTATTTAATCGTTTCGAAACTATGATAGAAAATAAAGAAATAAGTAGTAATAATATGATTATTAACATAACTTTTTCACATCGGTTCTATCACTGTTAATGAAAAAACCCACTTATATACAGTTGTAAAAAATACTTAACGGGTGTGGCCCCTTGTTCTAACTCCAGTTATATCGTATGATTATCGTTATTGAAATATACATATGGTCAATTCTCGTATAAAATTACCGACTTAGCTCGCGTTGGTGAATAACGGAATTTAATAAGTCGAATACGAAAATGGATGTTTGAATACGTACATTTTGTACACTCGTTGATCGGAAGGGACAATCAGAAAATCGCAGCGAACGAAGCGAAGAGAGAGCAAAATGAAAAGAAACGACGAGCGGTGGATTTGGTTCACCCACCCTCTTCACCGTGCGTCATTTCGCTTCGCTCTCTTCTATTCGCCTCATCCCTCTCATTTCTTGTCCAGATAAGTGAGTGTACAAAATATATGTATTCAAAAACCCATCCTCGTATTTGACTTATCGAATTCCATTATTTACCAACGCGATTTTAGTTGATGATTATATACGAGGATAGCCGACAGGTGTATTCCGATGATAATCAGCATACAATCCAATTAGAGTCAGATTTCGGACCACTAAACGGGTTTAGTAAAGTCAAAGTATAATTAACGAAGTTTATGCTATTATTTGTCAAAGTATCTCGTCACTGACTTGAAGGTCTAGCTGACCAGGGTTATGTTATATAATCCAATAAGGAATTAGGTTCATATATTTAATCTATATCATTGTAGATGAAGTATATTAAGTAGTAATTAAATGTTTATGATGTGTTGATCTAAAATAATCATATGACCTAATTCAAAGAGCAACCATTTATTTTTAAATTAAATGGCAAATGACATAAAAACTAGATTTTGAGCAAACAGAAATAACTGAGGGTCATTTTTAATCTGTACTACTGAAAACAAATGACGGTCAATAAGAAAGCCATGCTATATAAAAATAAAATGGGTAAAATCTTCTATCTTATCCATCTCAATGAATATCAGCAAGATAAAAAAGAGCATTTGTTTGAATCCTTTTTAGTTCTCTGTCACAGATTTAGGGAATACTCTAGTTCAGAAATATATTTTTCAATTGAAGTATGATAAAAAGCAAATGTATTAAATATGAAGAATCTTTGGAATTAAATCGCAGGTTCAGTCGAAGGTTATTTTGCTTTTTGTTAATTATTGAATTTATATTTCAATTTAGGAATCTGAAGACAAGTAATAACTCCTTTGAATTCATTCACATTTAATTAGTAAAAGACTACATAGGTTATTTGACTGTGAATAATTTTCATATGTGAACGACTAATAAAATAGTTGATTATAGATTCAATAGATTAACAAACCATTCATAAATCCCAATATTGACAGCAAAGGAGCTCAAGGTCCTAAATAAACTTCAGTGACAGAGGTGGGACGTATGGATTTAAACTCATTAATTCCTTTTAATTAATTCAAAAATTTACCACTTTTACAGATGCATGAATTTCCTATCACGTTGTACGTACACTTAATTCAAATTAAAAAATGCAGTTAATCTGATTATAACCCGATACTCCAGTAGCACCCTGATTGCTACAATCCGAAATTCAACCTGAAATAAGACCAAGAATTCATATGTATGAGCCGTTTCAAGATAGAATACACAAGTATCCCACACTCTCAAGCTATTATTAGATTTAGGGCTAAATTCTATCCAGGATAAAATATATATGTTGAATTGAGTAAATTTATGTTAGTTAAATATCAAATATTGTATTGTGTATGTTCTGTACTATTTGTTTTGATAGGGTCTAGTGAATTTGTAATGAAAATATATGAACTATATCATGTTGGAACTGTTGAAGTTTGGCTAGTTCCACCATATGATATGCCACAACTTGAAGTTAAAGGAGACAACCAGCCACAGGAGAAGCAACCAGAAATGCAAAATCACATTGGTGCACCTGCTTACAAACCGGACTTAAGAAGTGTTAGCAATTATGAAAACGTTAGACCACATACGAATAAGGAATTCACACCACCTACATCGCCCATAGCTCGACCCAAATCTTCATTTCCTCAAATACGACGGTACAAAGCTTTTCCAGATGACAGTGTTGGATCATATCAGAATCAAAAGTTTTATAATATAGTTCGTTTAAATACTGTTTGTGGTATAGAAATAGCTAAAGAAAAATCTCCATCTGGTGTGACAATGGAAGATTTCCCTTCAGATCTAAAATCCCCTTTGGCTACTTACGATGTGAGTTTCAATAAACTTGAATATTATTATTCTGAAAGAAATTGCATTCTTAAAAGTATTGTTTAAAGCTGCTCGTATTTTGTAACGAAATGGATTGAAAAATTATAATGAATATGATTTCTTATAGTATTTCCTCGACTGATGCCACATATATGGATAGCTGCTGTACTGAATTTCACTCTTTTAGTATACTATTATGCACTATCTTTAGTGCAGTTTAATTTACTTTGTTAAATTTGAAGAGAATACAAAGCAGAATTGTAAAGACAAGCTACCCGTAAGACGCTTGAAAATGTCTTCACATACATAACAATAAAGTCTGACCAAAATTTAAGTACGAGAAATATAGTACAATTTTTCAAAGTAATTTAAAGGATCTACAGTCCAGATAGTATAAAATACTATTAAGAAGAAATCTTTATAAGAAGTGAGCAAGTCACCAATAATAAGGCTAATTATCAAAGTTCAAGGATGAGCAAATCTTTTGGTTTTGTGTACACACTTTCCAAAAATGTAAATACTTCAAACAAATCTGTTAGAAACTAGATGCGATTTCCATTTCCACAGGAATAAATATATTCATGTATGTTATTATCGTCCCAGTGACTGAATCGCATTTATTTGGCAAAGTAAACATGTGGACAGAATACCACATGAGTATAAATGGTGATTGAAAGTGAATAGAACTTTACTTATCTGAAGTGACATATTGGCCATAATAATGTGATCACTGAAAAACATCTCGATAAGAATACAGAAAGCTGCTTTAAAATTTTCCAGACTAACTCATTACTAATTTCGAATGAAATACGCGAACAATTATTAAAACCAAGTGTAGGAAATAGTAATTCTCTCTGTATTACTCTGACTGTGTAACTTTCCTTAAAAAGGAAAAAACGTTTATGGATAACAGGCAGTTGATCCCATGTTTCATCAAAAAATTGTTTACGCGTAATAGAATAGCAAAATGGGTCATAATGAATTAATTTGTTTAGTTTTAGGTACTAAGAATAAATCGATTAACGAATTTGTAGACCTATATAAACTACCATGACAGAATTACATGTCACGTTTGCCAAGCCACTGCTTATTCACAGGTAGGATGTTGGGGGAAGTGGGATAGGGTTAAAAAAAGTACACAATATCAGCTGATGAAAGTAATAACAGTCGGTTTAAATCATGCATAATGAAGTGGACATTTTTAGTTGAAGTTTTTAGGATGGCGTAAAAAGGCGTTCGGAAATAAAAGTTCCTGTGACATAGAATCAGTTACAAAGATAATTATGCAATCGATCTTTATATGTTTGTAAACGTTGAACTTTTTCCTACGTGTTAGTTACAATTTTTTGTTATCGACCTACATCACTGTTGTCTTTAGTATTTTCACACCTTTCTTACCTTCTCCTTCCACAAGTTTTGCGAAATATGGTAAATTACACTGCCTTACTATTGATACATAAATCTGATAGAAAAGAAATTCATTTAAGTTACCTTTTTTTCTAACTTATTTTTCAGATTATAATTGATCCTGATATCGTTTCTAATTATTTAAGGGTAATGTCATTCAAACCAAGAACAATAAATAATACTGAAATGATCAATGATCGTTTAGAAAAATCTGCAAGAATTAATTCTACTATAATGCCAAAAGAAATCAATAGAAGTCAACGTGGTCTAAATTCAAGTGTTGGAAGAAAATTATTGAATTCACCACCTAAAAATCGTGGTATTATTAGTGCCAGATCTTTAAATACAAGTGCTTTAAGTAAGTTGTTTATTGAAAATCAAATAGACCACAGTTACAAAATAGTTTAAAAGTAGTAAGTTTGAAATATTTATCTGATTTTATATTATACTCTGAGTTTAGCCAAAAGAAAGATTATGTATTTAATACAAAAACAAACATTTTTGTAGAACAGATTCTATTTCTTTTCTCTCCATCACTTATCAACAACAACTAGTTCTAAGTGATCGATCTGGGTTCTTTTATTGAATGTGTAACAGCATCAAATGTTTACTAAATCTCTATTCTAATTCAGTAATCTGACATTTTAATCTTGTCATTGCCACAGTAATGATAGATAGAATTCATTGGAAGACGTCGATACTTGAAAGAAGCACATTTTCAACAGTATTAGACACAAGGAACAAACGTCGAACTCTCGATAAATGGAATAAGTAGTCTACATTACTCAGTTCAAATGTGGGTTTTTTTTCATGAGCCGAATATACTTTTCGCTAATTTGTAAATCTAATAAAAACCATTCTCAATAACACTTCGTGTTTAACTCTTTTGAACAATGAAAATTATCTGTGAAATAATTAAAGTAATTGGTTTTTTCAAAATATACGAATATTTTTCATCGATACATTCCCTACACTAACTAATTCGATCATAAGAAAAAGAAAGAAAACCTCTTTGGTTATATAGAACGATAGTCAATAGATTTAATGAACCTTCCCTTTTTAAGTGATGGTGACACCTATACTTGGAGTTTAGGAAATAAAAGGGAATTTTTCACCTAACTTAATGGTTTAAGCACCCGGCTTTTAACCAATAACATATACGTACAAAAAGCCGTCCCATTCACTTCCGTTTGGATCACCTGGAAGTATCATTATCCCTTACACTTCGTGACTTGAAGCCCAATACATAAACATATACTTGTTAAATAAATTAAATTTACTATTCATTATTGACACCTTTAAAACAGTGAGAATCATTTTACTTCTGTCATGAATTACTGCTTCAACACATATATTTTTCAAGGGAAAGATTATCTTTACAATAACCCTTGAAAAAAACTTAAGATTTAGAATTTAGTGCACTAACTAGTTCCAAAATCAGTAAAACATGTATGTTGAAAAATTAAATCCAATCAAATTACACATGTGAGCTGTAAATCACGTTTACCTTTGTATTATTTTCGTACATTCATATTGTCACGTTGTATACAAACTAATGAGGAGTGAAATAAACTATTAATGATAAATCTAGATGGATTATACTCACTCAGTATTTTAATACAATTCAGTCATGATTATTTTATCGAAAACTGAAAGGTTGACAGCACATATATAAACCAATAGACTAAGCTTTGATTGTTAGGATGGTTCTAAAAATATTGTTGGTAAATTGAATAAGTCAAATCAAGAAAAAAATAACAGCAGAAAGTGAAATATACGTACTTTACCATAATTTAAACTGGAGAGAAATAATGAACTTATTTGACCGAAATCGACTGATTTCATTCCATATCATTTAATATCTTCAACATACCCGACCGTAGCTGCAACCCTTCTGTAATGGTTGAGCTTGCCTAACGTGCTGACGCAGTCGTTTTATTGACTGAAACACTTGTTCCTTCAAGTCCTGAGATTCCAAATAGATTGGTTGGGAACGGCAAAACCAAAAGCAGAAGCTTAAAGTCTAAGGGTGGAGTCATACAGATGGTGAGGGCAGTACTATTTTTCTTGGAAAACCAACGTCTGAGACGATCCTGCCTTCCCATGACGAAAGGAAGGAAGCATAAAAATCCGAGCCTAGGATTAGCACACTGCACCTTACCACCCAAATTCTCGTTGCTAGGGCTTCACGTCTTAAAAGTACGAAGCTAAGACATCAAGAACTACTCACAGAAAGACTGTATGACAATGCGTATTCCCGACCGCCGCCTGTTTCAACGCATAATGTTTATTTGTGAAGGAGTAAGTTGAATGGAAGCCAAGGAAGGGGAAACCAAAACGTAACATCAGTCCATGAAGTTAGTAACTGTTGGACTGAACCCTGTTAGCAGGAGCAGACTATCTGGTTGGTGTCTACAGAATTTTTTCTACTATCACTGCTAACATTACTAATTATACTACTCTGGTATTTGTCTGAATACTTTCATCTTGCTGTGCTCATATGGTATAATGAATTACACCGATCTACATATGTGCCATGTCCTAAATTGTTTATGACTGATTCTTGGAGCGTAGATTACGATTACTTTATGAAAGCTTATCAGGGATTATGAACCTTCAGTGGTAACCTTATATATATTGTGAAGAATATTCTTCGTTCATATATTGATGTACTTATATGATGGAAACTCTTAAACGGCCAGAAATATTTGCCCAAATGGTTATAAGGTATGGCTAAATTATCTGAAATTTATCGCTCTGCTAAGAAACACTTTTTAAAAGATTGTATATTATAATTAAAGATATTACATTTTAAACATTCTCCACAGTACAGTTTTATTTATTATTGAAACTAATAGTAGTATTGTACTTGTATAGAATATTCGTAAATAATTCTTTTCGTTTATTTCTTACAAAATATATTACATTAAAATAGAAGGAAAAAAGACAAGTTGAATTCAGGAAGAGAAATTCAAACATAACCAATAAATAATAACAATGTATTTCATAATGTTATTTATTGTTGAATACAATACCACTTCCATGATACTAATTCTTAACTTTTGTAAAATAACATTCCGAGTAGAGTAATAACTACTCGCGGATAAAGTAAGATTAGTAGTGATATAATGTATTGCCCATAAAATATGTTACTTTTATTATGTAAAGTTGAATATCGTTTAATTCAACTACTATGCTTGGGGTTATTTTCCGACGAGTGAACAGTAAGTCCTTCATAACCTTTTTAAATTATAGATAAAATAATGAGATAATAGGATAGTAAAACCACTGTTTACTTCCGTTATCGTAATGATTGTAAAAAAATGAAATATTCTTAAAGAAATTCAATATTACATAGTAACTAATGGAAATGAAAATATAAAAAACATGCGTGCACTAATCAAAATGAAACTTATTAGTTTGTGAAGAACTGTCCGACTCTGAAGTAATTCTCATCATAAACTGATATCATCTGGAGAATCATTAGGAATTACTGTGCACTGGATGGTTTTTCACCTTAGGTCTGGATTTCTTAAGAATACACACATACGAACGCACAAAAAATGACTTAGAGATCTCACAGTGAGCGTAATATATCTAGATTAAATGACTTATATTCCCAACGTCAATCGAATCAAATCATGGTTTAACAATTATTCAGTCCCATTGGCAGATAGTCGCTATATTCCAGACTACCGTGTTTGAAATGATCATACAATCTGTAGTAATATGAAGCCAACACACTCTAGATTTCCAGACTACATTAAGAGTGTAATTTTAGCTATCTTAATTAATTAGAACTTTCTTCGTGAGAATGATACCAAAAAGACAAGCATAATCTACCTCGGATTAACTAAAATTGCTATTTAGGTAAATGTGAACTCTGTCCGCTCTACGGACATGATAGTCATCGATTCATCCTTAAAAGCATTTTTGCCCATAATATCAATCCTTGAAGATTCTTAATAACAGCAGACCACGCACAAAAAGGTGTTCTAGTTGAATGCTGAGAGAAATAAGAGCCATGAACAAGTGTGAAATAGATTATTCAGTGGGAAGGTTTAGGAATTAAATCACTATTTTATTTGGGATCACAAGTGTTGGAAAGAGATAAGCTTCAGTTATAAGCTAGTCTTCCACACTATTCCTCGGTAATTTCTTATATGACACAGTAGCATAAAGTCTTTAGGGTTTAAATTAACTCATTCACGAGGTACTTTAGTATGGCTCATACTCTAAGTGAGGGCTAATGATAGTGATCAAATTCTCAAACCGCAGTAGAATGAAGTTCGAGCCCAGCACTAAGTGAGTGAAGATAGAATGCCCTATGCAGTAAGCTTTCGTTCTACTATATATGGCGCACTAGACTACTTCATTGGCAACGAAATTTTGCATTACATCGACGACTTTATGAAACATTCATAGTTTTACATTTCAAATCAGTCCCAAAATGATACTTGATTCATGTTGAATCACCTCACATTCTACACATATCATTTCATTAGACAAACAACTCAAGATCAAACTTCTTTGGTAAACAACCACCAAAAGTACTTTTCAAAGTCGACCTATCTTTGCCTGTTTCTTAAGGGATAAGACAAACTACTAGTCCGCCTCATAGATCTAAATAACAAAATATGACCCCCTCCTATTCATTCCATCAAAAGGCCAGAGCTAAGATTTAAAGTTACGTAGTATTTTAGCTTGTATTTAAGAAGGTGCATCGACACAGGTATTTAGCGGTTTCTTCTTCCCCAGTCCACGCCAAAGACTTCATATAGAAACTGTTTTGATGAAAAAGTAACAGATAGTAAATTCACATAGAATCAGCTGAAATAAATCAAACAAGACAAATCAGAGAATGCCTGCCATTGTGTCTGCATAATTTAAAATGACACTGAGATTACTACAAACTACAACTCCGAGGAACATCCGACTGCCCGTCTAAGTAACAATAAGTGAACTGAATCCCTCTTATCTTTAAAGAATTTACTTGTCTAGCGCTCAATACAACAATGACTTATTCAATGATACTGGCTTACCACCAGTAAGTATGAGAATACTACTGTAAAGTTGGTGCTTAGCACAAAAATGAAGTTCGAAAAACAATTTGTAATTACGTTTGATCATTTGAACATGGGTTTCAGGATGTGTAGCGCATAAAAGACAATAAGAAGTTTCCCAGCAATGCTTTATTTAAGTCATGACACTAATGATAAGTGAAGCCTTGCAAACCTCACGATATGAATTTTCTTATCGAAGACAATCTAAAATTAGGAAGGTGTAAAGAACAGTTGTCTGGTATGTTGATCATACCTCTTCTCGATAACTATAAGGACACATTCACTCATCTAAGTGTGTATAATCTAAAACACGTTGATAACTACTACAAGAATGGTGTAGCTCGGGAAACATAAGGCGAACTTTTTGAAGTGACTTCCTAGACGGGATCTCCTAATAACTGACTAATTAGTTAGAAACATGTAAGCTGTCTGATAAAGGTAATGTACGGGTTTTAATCGTGTAGTGAAATCAGTGCTACCTAAATACACTTTAGACTGAAATATATTTCTTCCCAGGAATATTTGACTTCATACTTTACAATTAGCACCAACAAACGAAGCCACGGAAAAGACAGGGCTCTCGACAGTAGGGATCGATATTTTCATAGGAGACAAACATTCCCGATGCACTACAACTACTAGGGTGCGGCGCGCCACTAACTTAATTATGCCCGTTTCGACGATAACACAGTCGCAAACTATAAAGTAATATTAGGCAAGTCTAGTTAAAGAACATATTAACTACCCATTCGTGGATAATAGACTTACACTTACTACCAACTGATCAGACGTCTCCGCGTTTGGATTTCACTATAGACGTTGCTCACCACACTCTGAAAGGTGCTTTGAAGCCTAGAGAAAGTATATCGACCGATATTTCCTATTCATTTTTAAGTAGGTGTATTTTACTACGATCTACGGCTAGTTAATTCCCTTACTTAATAATTTCGTATACCCATAGGAAGAACTATTCAGAATTAAAGCTAATTTCCTCCGCAAAACAAGCCATCGACGTTTTAAGGTGAAACGTGTAATTATACAGCTGGGAATGAGTACTAACAAACTGAGAACAATTAATACAGACAGGAAGGTGACAAAATAAATCGAGATTTACACACTGCTTAGTGAAATATTAAGTAAACAGGCCCGGCAACACAGTAAACACAAGTCTGAACATTCACCTAAATATAGAAAAATTACCGATGGGTCATCACATAACACAAAAGCTTAAGTGATATCACAAATCCCACACTCGACCAGTAACCGCTACTCATAAAAGAAAGCCCAAAAAAGGAATGCACGTCTAGAAATTATATGTGGAATGGGGGTTGACGGCGTTATTAAGATAAAGACTTACAAGCTGATGAAAATAATTTTATTGGCTGCTTAAAAACATTACATAAGGAAGTTAAAGTCATTTTATTTCGATCCACTGTACTTAGTAACTGCTTTTGTACCTTCGGACACAGCATGTTTCGCAAGTTCGCCAGGCAATAATAGTCGGACAGCAGTTTGAACTTCACGACTGGTAATAGTGGATTTTTTGTTATAATGTGCTAAGCGACTAGCTTCTGCTGCAATCCTTTCAAAGATATCATTAACAAAAGAGTTCATTATAGACATCGCTTTTGATGATATCCCTGTGTCTGGATGGACTTGACGTAACACCTTATATATGTATATGGCATAACTCTCCTTCCTCCTTCGCTTTTTTTTCTTCTCAGACTTAGGTACTTTGACTTTAGATGATTTTTTAGCCGCTTTCCCAGAAACAACTTTCGGAGGCATCGCGCCAAACAACGACGATGACGAAAATGTCACCCAGACAAAATAATTATTTTGATGCAGATAAACAATAAAGCACAAAGGTCATACCTACAACAGAGATCGAACTAAAGAAGTAGGGTTTATCATGACCACTAAATCACAGTATCATCAGGTTACCAAAGAAAGGATATTTGAGCAGGTGTGAGAACTACAGAGAAATCACACTACTACCAGTACGAGAAAACGTTTTCAACAGTGTTGCCGAACCGGATGAAGGATTCAGTGGACGCGCAGTTTTGAGATCAAACTGCCGTATCCCGTAAGGATCGGTCGCGCATAGACCAAATTGAGACAGTATGGATCATCGTTGGGAAATATATCGAATGGAACTTGTCACTATACATCAAATTTCATGATTATGAAAAGGCGTTTGACGGCGTAGTTGAAAGAACTGTGAAATTGTGGTTTACATCGCCCGTAGTATTATTATAATAATAGGCGTAATCCCAAAATTGTAGATATATCATAATGTGAAAACCTAATTTAAAAAATCTTACGCGGAAGTCACATCATTGCCTATTCTGACTCGTCATATCGTATCAATCATCGTGGTAATGTTGTAAAGAACACACAATATACACAAGCTATTCAATGTCTGTTCACTGGATACCATCAGCAACAACCCACTGTGGCAGAGCATAAACCAGGTTCTAGCTGAGGAGTGAATTAGAAAAAGATGTTGGAGGTGGATAGGATATACATTATGCAAATCATCAAACTGCATCATGAGACAAGCAGTAACTTGTACTACTGAAGGTGAATGGAAAAGAGGAAGGCCTAAGAACATATTAAGACGGGAATCGGAAGTGGGAATAGCTACTGCAAAAAACGAGATGGGATTTTGTAGGACCGAGTTCTATGGAAAATCATGGTGGGCGGCTTATACTCCTATAAGTAAATAAGTAATGATAATTAGAAACACTTGAATTAATTTACTAACTATAAATTCCGAAATCGTGCTACTTAGGTCAGAAAGAACTAGATGATCACGAACGAACATATTATATTTAGATTTCCTAATAAACGCAAAATCAAGTATAAGGGAATCACTATTTCGTACAAATGCAAAAACCTCTACAGCTTAAAAGGAAATCCAGATTTCTGTAATTGATCGCACTTCTGCTTATGTTCATCATATGTCTATCCGGCTGTGCATTGGTTATAGTCTCTGTATGATCTGAAATGTACTCATTAGTATTAGAACCACCGACGAAAAATGGAACGGACTCACCCGAGTTTCTGTAACGTGTCCGATTGTTGTAACTGGCTTGCTACTAAATTCAGAATATTTATCTCAGTAGTCAACCGATCACGAAGTTGAGTTTACAATCGGTCGCCTAAATTGCACTT